GCCGGCCCGGGCGCATGAATCGGTCCGGGAGCGCCAGAAGCAGAAATTCAGCATTGTCAAAAGAAAAATATGTATTGGCATTGCCTTTTTTCGGCGCCGCCTCGGAACTCGATTTGCCGGCGCCGGCCGGAACTGGCTCCGGACCCGGCCCGAGCGCCGGCCTGGGCGCCGGCTCGGGCGTGCAGCCCAGGCGCCGGCGGAAATGAGGCCAGCGCTGCAGCGGGAGCACGATTCGGAACGAGCGGGGCCCGAGAATGAGGCCGGCGCCTCAGCGAGAGCAGCATTTTGGGAAAAAGTGCAAGCGAAAACCCAACTCCGGGGAAACCTGTGTGTAAAACAACAGTGCGCGGGGGGGGTCGAATAATTACTCCGAAGCCGTCATCAGGGGAAGAGGGAGAGTAGTATTCATATTGAGTAATTGTGGAGGAGGAGGAGGAGAAGGAGGAGGAGGAGGAGGAGGAGGAGCACGGAGGAGGAGGAGGAAAAGGAGGATGATGATGATGAGGAGGAGGAGGAGGAGGAAGAGGAGGAGGAGGAAGAGGAGGACGACCACAAAGGCCAGAAGCCTATTGGAGGCCTTTGGGTGTCTTGGAGGTCTCTGGGGTCCCAGGGGCCTCTTGGGGTGTCTTGGGTGCTTTTGGGGTGCCTCTTGGAGCTTCTTGTGGGCCTCTTTGGGCAACTCTTGGGGCCGTCTTGAGGCATCCTTGGGAGCCTCGAGGGCCATCTAGGAAACGATCGATCAAATGAGGGGAGTTCCTTACTTTACCCCCCTCCCACGAGGCCAACATGTGGCTACAACCTTAGTAACAGAAGTGCTATTGCCTTCCTCGCCGAGGCCATCTTGGACGCTCCAACCCCTCGCGGAGCGCCCCCTCCAGACCCAGGGCTTAGGGGGGTAGGGGGAGGGGTTCACCGTTCCCGAAGGGGAGGAAGGACGATGAAAGAGGAAACGCTTCAAACCACTCGCGCCCAGAGGGCTGGTGGGATGATGGCTGTGAGCTCGTTGGTTTCTTTTTTTTCTCCTTCTCCTTCTTCTTGTCCGTCTTCTTCTTCTTCTTCTTCTTATTTTTCTTCTAAGGAAGTCCTCAGGGCCAAGATCATATCGCACTTGGTCTCCAATGCCATGACGAGAAGCGGGGTCGCGACGGGGCACCTCGGAGTGGTTCGCCGGGTCGGGCTGCTGGGGGCGGTGTCCGACCAGCTGGCCGCGTCCCTGGCGGAGCGCCTCGAGCCGCTCGTCGTGCTGCCGGGGCACGACGTCATGGTCGAGGGTCAGAGGTCGAGGAGGCGAAAGAGCCTGTTTTTTTCTTGGGACTCGGGGAAGTTTACTTACATGGACGGGGGGGGCTGAGCCTGAAGCAAGCCGAAGGCAATTCGATGTGCGGAAATCACGCAAGTTGAAAGGCACTTGCACGCTCGTATTCGATAGGAGAGGGGTGAGGGGGGGGGCGGACGCCATGCGAGTAAACTTGCCCTGTCTAAAGAATAACAGGCTCAAAGCTGTACAGGCATCAACTTCTGGCGGTCGCTGTTTTTTTACTGACTGTTTCTCCGATCGGCGCGGGCCCGTGGCCCTCCCCCCGCCCCCCTCCCCCTCGTCGTGCGGTCAGCCCGTGCAAGAAGGACGCACGATGAGGATGCAAGGGCCTTGGAAGGCCATGCCAGCACTGTGCGAGCGGGGCGCGGCCAGAGAAAGCGGCCAAGGATGGGCCGAAGGGCAAGGACGCAGGCGTACCCCTGGAAAGTCGCTCACTCTTTCTATGCGGGTTGACTGTATACCAGATCTTTGCTGCTTTTGGCGACTGGTCGGGGCCCCTTCCCCCCATTCTGCTGGCGCGACCAACGAAATCAGATCGACGAAGCACGTGCCCAGACCCAGACCTCCCTCTCTCTCCCCCACCCTTCGGCCAAGTGTCAAAAAAAACCATAATAAAGAAACTCCCACGAGCTCCGATCGGATTTCTCGGATCGGCGCTGGACCCTCCCTGGGGCGCGGAGCGCGCCAGGGGCAGCGCCGGAAACGCCGCCAGTGGGGCTCCACTTCTCGGCTCCGAGACATCTGGGCGCAGCTGGGAGAGCTCAGGTTTGTGCAGGTTATTATTTCTCCAAGAGGGCTGCTGGGCCAATTTTCCACTAACACTACCATGGGTAGGAGGTGGAGGAGGAGGAGGAGGAGGAGGAGGAGGAGGAGGAGGAGGAGGAGGAGGAGGAGGAGGGAGGGGGGAGGAGGGGGGGAGGAAGGAGGAGGAGGAGGAGAGAGGAGAGAGGAGGAGGAGGAGAGAGAGAGGAGGAGGAGGAGGAGGAGGGCCTCCCCATTCTCCCTTCTCCCCCGTCATCCCTATGGTAGTGGTGGTGGGAAATTAGCCCATCGAGGGCGAGCCGTATGTTCGTGTTGCTGGACGGGAAGCTGCGGAGCGAGTACTCGTGCGGCACCTTCGTGTATGGCTCCGGCAAGGTCTTCTGCGAGGCCGTGCTGCTCGGGGTGGTGAACTACTACCCGAGGCCCGCGCCCTGCCAGTGTCGAGCGTGAACAGAACCCCCTCACTGACACGTCGATTAGTGAATTGTCCTTTTTCGGTTCTCGAGGGGGCGCCGCGGCCGTCATTTTCCCGCCAGGTTTAGGCCAGAGGTCGTTTTCACTAAACCACGTTTTACTGAAGGAGCTTCTGTCCATTCCCGACTGGGGACGGGGAGTCGCGAGCTCGAGCAAGTCTGTTCGGTGGCGAAGCATGGGAGCCTCGTGTGCCCTCTTAGTCCCGTCTTTAGCGCTCCTCCTCCTCCTCCTCCTCCTCCTCCTCTTGCTCCCCCTCCTGTTCCTCCTCCTCTCCCTTCGCCATCTCCTCCTCCTCCTCCTCCTTCCAGGTTGGTTAAGAAAGGGGATGCGGGAGAGGGCAAGCGCCACCCCGCTGGTTCAAGATGGCCACGATGGGCGCTAGGAGTCGGGCTGCACGCAACCCTTCGTGCACGTACCGCTTCAGGATTCCTGGACTCCTTCTCCTCTTCCTCCTTCTCCTCCTTCCTCCTCCTCCTCTTCCTCCCTCTCTTCCTCCTCCCCTCTCTCATGCTCCTCCTCCTCCTCCTCCTCCTCCTCCTCCTCCTCCTCCTCCTCCTCCTCCTCCTCCTCCTCCCCCCCGAGCTCTTCCTCTCTGATCTGCACCTTTGAGGCATGAGGTGGCGGCGGGGGGGTCCCCAGCGGGAGCCTCGGGGTGGCGGGCGTTTCTCTCCTCTCCTTTCCCTTCCCCGCGATCTTCCCGCGCGGTGCTTCGCAGCACGTCCCCGAACTGCCTCCCCTCCGCTGTCTCGGCCTCCTCCTCCCGTCCTCCCTCGAGTCGTCTGCGCGATGCCAGAGCACGCGGGGCCGAGGTCTCCCGCGGAGGCCCGTGCGGGGGAGCGGAGGGCGTGGCCCTTGGGCGGTTGTGGGCGGGGGCGGGTGGCGCGAGGTCTCCTCTCGGAGCCCTGCCGTCCCTCCCTTCTCTCGGCTGCGAGCGGGGGGAGGGGGGACTTCGAGGCTCGAACTTCGAGGTTCGAGGTTCGAGGCGGTTCGGCCTCGGGGGGGCCGGCCGTTTTTGGGCCCCAGGACCCCCGAAGGTCGATCTGGGGTGAGAAACCGCGTCGGGTGGACCCCAGGACCCCGGGAGGGGTCCGGGGACCGATTTTGACCGATATTCGGCGGCGCGCCTGGGCGGGGGAGGCGAGACGGAGAATGTATTCTCAGAAGGCGGCGGGGCTTCCGAGGGGGCCTCCGGGCTTCTGAGAGGTTTTTTGTTGAAAACTTCTCAGAAGGCCGGGGGACTTGGAGCCTTCCGAGAAGGTCCGCCCCTTCTCACTTCCCCCCAGGCTCGCCGCCGAGCAAGGTTTTCTCTGACCCCTGGCTTTTCCTGTGGACATGCTGCTAGAACCATCTGCCTTGAGCCGCGACCGACCGACTGACCGAGCGACCGAAGTCTCGCGTGTGCGGTGGTTGATTCGCTCATTGCGCGGTTGAAGGGGCTATTTGCTCCACGGTTCGACACTTCACCCTCTCGGCGTAAATGGGGATCTCTTCAAGCAACTTGAGGAATCTGACGATGTTGATTTTGGTAGGAGTGGTGGTGGTGGTGATTCTGCTACTGCTGCTGATGACGATGATGATGCTGATGATGATGGTGTTGATGACGATTATGATGCTGATGCTGCTGCTGATGATGATGATGCTGATGCTGATGATGCTGATGATGCTGATGATGATGATGCTGATTATGATGACGATGATGATGATAATATGATGGTGATGATGCTGATGAGGAGGATGTTGATGTTGATGATAATGGTGGTGGTGATGATGCTGCTGATGATGATGATGATAATTCTGATGATGTTGCTGCTGCTGATGATGATTATGATGCTGCTGCTGATGATGTTTGTGATTCTGATGCTGATGATGCTGCTGATGATGATGCTGCTGATGATGATGCTTATGATGCTTATGATGATGCTGATGATGATGATGATGACGACGAGGATGATGATGATGATGCTGATGATGATGATGATGATGACGATGATGCTGATGATGCTGATGATGATGATGATGATTATGATGATGATGATGATGATGATGATGATGATGATGATGATGATGATGATGATGATGATGAGGAGGAGGAGGAGGGGAGGAGGATGAGATGAGGATGAGGATGAGGAGGGGAGGAGGAGGAGGAGGAGGAGGAGGAGGAGGAGGTGGAGAAGGGGAACGAGGATGAGGATGAGAAGGGGGAGGAGGATGAGGTATATCAGGAGGAGGAGGAGGAGGAGGACCAGGAGGAGGAGCAAGAAGAGAATGGGAGGTTATGAGGGTGCAATTTAGTTGTAGGTCGGGGATGAGGTGGACAGGACGCTTTTCTCAGCAACTTGTCGTCGACGCTGACGCCTCAGCGAAGTAGAGTACAAACACTATGTACACGCCGATCTCATATTTTGAGAAGCGCGGGGCCCCGTACCAGCGATACGTTGATATCGCTCTGGCGCTCTGAGGCATCATTTATGGTCACGTTCGCTTCACCTTTGGAACCACGCTCTGTTTCCAGATTCCGGGCCCGAAGAGGCAGGCTCCAGGATCAGGACTCCAGAGACAGGCACTTCGCGGGGTGGCCTCCTCCTCCTCCTGCTCCTCCTCTTCCTCCTCTTCCCCCTCCTCCTCCTCCTGCTCCTCCTCCTCCTGCTCCTCCCTTTCCTCCTCCTCCTCCTCCTTCTCCTTCTCCTCGTCCTCCTCGTCCTCCTCGTCCTCCTCCTCCTCCTCCTCCTCCTCTCCCTCCTCCTCCTCCTCTTTTTTCTCCTCCTACTCCTCCTCCTCCTTCCCCTCCCCTCCTCCTCCTCCTCCGCCTCCTCCTCCTCTCCTCCTCCTCCTCCTCCTCCTCCTCCTCCTCCTCCTCCTCCCCCTCCCCCTCCTCCTTTTCCTCCTCCTCCTTCTCTTCATCCTCCTCATCCTCCTCTTCCCGCTGGCATTAGGCCCCCAGCCTGTCTTGAGAGTAGCCGGCGGGAAGATCGTTTTGGCCACGCGGCGAAGCCAGGCCAAAGGAAGGGTCAAGGTCGCTCCTTCGATCTGCGCCATCGCGTCGCTGCTGCCAGGACCGTCACTGCCAGCACCGTTTGCATGCTGCTGTCGCTGGACCGCAAGTACTTCCAGGACGGATCCTGGGGCAGCCGTTATCTGTCGAATGAGGAGGATGGAAGAGTAAATGGAGGATGATGATGATGAGGAGGAGGAGGAGGAGGAGTAGGGTGACACCTTGAGTGGGGGCGCAAAGTTAAGTGGTGCCGTCAAGGCGGCAGCTGCCGGGCGAGGCACTGGCGCGAGTGGAGTGGGGCTGGCCTTCATGACTTTGCCTCTTTCC